ACACTAGACCATTACTCCATGGTCTGGTCTCTATATTATAAAATTCACATATAGGCTACTGAAAAAGTTCAATATAAATTCTTACGACTCTTTGCATATTATAAGGGCATCCTCGTTACCTTGATTTGTCACAATTATGATTCTACACTCGCCGAATCTAAATTAAGCACATTAGAAAACAGAAGGAAAGCCTTACATATCTTTTTTGCTTACATGATTATAAATGGTTTTATACCTTGCCCTGACTTAATTGCTAAATTTAAAATCAATGTTCCGGCTGAATTCTTGAAGAAACATGAATTATTGTTTGTTGAACATCACCGTACTCTGTATGAATATTACAATGCAATAAATCGGATGATCATTTATGCGTATTTTGTTCACTCTAAGGTGAACATTTTCTCCAAATTTATTATTGACTTTTAATTTTCACTTTGCTCTGTTACTGTATATCACTGTATATTAATAAAAAATAAATAAACTTAATTTTGCAATTTATCAAAGTATCAGGTCACCTCGTAATCTAATATGACCGTTTGAACAAGTTTCGAAATAACATAGGATAAATTATGAAGTAATCCGAAAGAGACAGGAAAAAATGTATGATCAATTTTTGTAACTTTCTTGGAAACAAAGTACAACTCGTATTATTCAGGGGGTCGCTACATCAAAAGTTTTCAGTTTTCAGCTTTGTATAATTCCGAGCAATAGTTTTCTACACAATTGATCTTCCACTACAATAACATACAAAATACCTCGAATACTCAGGCTCAAAATCAGTAAGAAGTATCATTTAAAATTATTCATGGATTTTGATTACACTGCGAAGTCTATAATAAAATGAATTCGTACGGTGAAATAAATTAATAAAATCGTCACACGACAAATTATTGTTATATGATATATAGGGTGGTATTACCACCTCGATAACCTGCGTATCTCCTCTACGCATCTACCTACAAAATAGCTTACAGCACCAGTACGTGCCTCCCTCGAAACCATTCAATTTTATATATATATAAACATTCTTTGCTACGTATAATAATAATGACGAACGAATGGTAATATCTGCTGAACCACCCTGTACATGTATAATATTTGTTTATGTATACTTTTTCCGACTGGCTTACGCTAAGAAATTTTGCGAGTCCCCCGAACAAATGGAGACGTTAATTGATACGTAAACAAATGAGAGGGAATGAAAAAGGCGGGCAAGAAGAGCGGGATAAAGGACAAGTTCCGGTGGGATGAAATGCGGAACACAATGGAAATGTTGTAGAAATGATAACATCCGCTTGTCTGGTTCATCCTGTTGATCTCCCTGGTAGCACTATGGTTTCATGTGCACCCTTGTTGCGAGGGGTCGGGTTCGGGGCGGAGGAGGCTGGGGTTGGGGGAGGACGTGGTTTCGTTGATTAAAATAACCTCGTCAGTGTAGTCGTTCTGTTGTACAACTAGTCCGGGGGATGATGAGTAACCGTCTGGCTTAGGAAATCGTCGTGACAAGGGCGTCGGACAAAACGAGGGGCGGGGTAGGAGATGGGGCAGGAGGAGGAGGAGGATGACTCCAGGTCACTCGTTCAACAAAGTCAAATTACAAGCTGAACAAATTGCTATAACACAGATTCCTACCCCGGGCTCGAATATTATCAAATCATTATTTCGAACTGTCTTTATGTACAAAAGCTTAAGCATTGTCATCATCATTTATCATTCTCCTTCAATGAATTTTTATCACATATCGTAGAAAGAAAGAAATTTGTCTTGCATTGGAAAACATATGGTATATTTGTGCTGATCTACTTTACAAAGTTAATCACGAAATTTTCAAATGGACTTGACAAGCTCTCTCGATCTTATACGTACATACATACATATGTATAACAATTAGGTAGACGGTACGACCTGATAGGCAGTGAACAATGTTATAAATTGGGTTCCACCCTAGTTTTTTCTTATTTGCGCGCTCTGTTCATAAAAATAATGAAACATGAAGAGACAATATCTCGACGCATTATTACTATTACTTTTGTATGCATTCATACTTTTAATTGAACGAAATCGTAATTAACTAAAACGCTAATTTAATTAGCGCATAAGTTGAGTGGGGCTCATAGTGATCTTGATAAATGAATTGACGAACAAAATATAATTAGAATGATATTAATATGAAAATATTTCACTAGTATTTGGATCATTAAAATGGCGAGAAACGTAAAGAGAAGAGTCGGGGATAGGAGAGAGAGAGAGAGAGGGCGAGGTAGAAAGAGAAAGGGGTGAAAGAGAGGGCGGAGGGAGAGAGGATGGTAGAGAGAGGAGGAGGAGAGCGTCGTCCAGAAAGAAAGGCTCGGCGGACAATCACAGAGAAAATCAGATGGAAAGGGAAAAAGAGAAATACAGCGTAGCGAACAGAAAGGCTCCGTACAGGAGGCGAGCATAGAACGCCCAACGAGAGAAAAAGCGAGAGCAAGAGAGAACTGTACTCAGTGCATGCAATCTTTTTAATTATGAAAACACGGCTTTGTGTTTCATTTTGTTTTGTCGTCAGGGGCGCTATTCTATTCGGGCCCTTCTCCTTCCTCATCCGGCTGCTGGTTCTGGTTCTTCCTTTTTTTTATATTATAACGCGCGCGCACCGCCGAACCAGCCATGAGAGGGTGTGCAGGGCTCTGGATAGGGTTCAGGGGAGGGGCAGAGATAGGGCAGGGTGAGATTGCTTTAGTAATGAATTACATGGCTTCGGGGTATGTGCCTGTCTGATGCGCTATACGAATACCGAGCATCACTTTCTGGCTTACGCTACGGCTCCTATCACTAAACTCGCGCGTCTCCTTTCTCTTCTTCTTCTTCTTCTTCATCTTCTTCTTCTACTACTACTACTACTTCTCGTATTTCTCTTTACAATTCATTCCTTCATCTTCTCTTTTCTCAATTCTCGTTCTTTATTATTTGACCAATTATGTACCAGATATCTTCAAATTGAAATATTATTTTCTTTTTTTTATTCTTCTTTATCTCTCTTGCTTCTTTCAATTTTCATCTCTTTTCAAACAGTGCATAATATGCCTACTGCATTTGTCAATGAGTCGATGCTCAGTCGTGCATGATTGACGTAAAAAAAATATGCAGAAACATTCCGGGACATTCTGTGTACGGAAGACAATAAATTTCTATTCCACAATTTAATATGTTTCGCATAAAAAATGTTTTATACTAAATTGATGCTACTGAATTTGCTTGTTCAGCCTCGTGTAAGTAACAATCTTCTAATAAGAAAACTCATCTAGGAATGGCAATGTGTTTTTAAATAGGATAAGAACATAATGCAGCTTTAAATTCCTAGTACGTAGATAATAAACTTGAAAGAGTACATAACAGTCTTTAATTTCCTTCTGTCTATTAAGTCGATCATTTTGTATCGTATTCTAAGTACTGTCTACTTCACCAAAAATGACTTTATTAAACGAGTTTCATTTCAGCAAGTAGTTAAATTCTTACAGTAAATATTCTACGGAACGCAATTTTTAGATGAGTTTTAAAAATCGATCATTACGTTAATCGACGGTACAAATGTGTAGTTAATGAAAGACGTGAAAAGTGAAATTTTTAAAGGTTATCGAATGAAATCGAGTGATTAAATGTTTACCGAGAACGAGCGGGCGAACGGACGATTGGTGAACGAAATTCCAGGGAACAAGGGATTTTGAAAAACCGAAAATCAAGTAGGCATCGTCTTTCTTTCGAAGGAGAAACGCTGCGCGGTACGATTTTAGTGAATTTTCCACAAGAGGGGTGTGTACTTACCCTCCACGGGGGTGGTACCGCCCCCGAAACGTGCGGACCAATCGCGTCGCAAGAAACCAACCCCCTCGTTCGGTACGTAACTCGGGGCTTGATCGAGGGTGAACTCCCGAAAGGAGAACTTCAGTTTCCCCGGTGTCGTCTATCGAGAACGATAAACCGACTCGCAGTGAGAATTGAAAAAAGGGGTAGCGCAAAACTGATATCATTTGTTGGTTTTGCTAAATTTAAGAAGGGAATCCTCGGAAGGGATGGCCGGGCCGTACTTGTCGCCTTTGGGCCCGCAGGCTGACTTGCTCACCGAATACATGTTCGGAAGACGTCGTCAGGTCAGTGTACGTTTCTTTTTTGCTTCTTTTTTACTTTCTCCCTTAAGCACCGATCGTCAGTGTCACACTTTCTCTATCTCTGAAAGCCAACCGATTTTTGAACTTGTGAATGTCCTCCGTTTCTTGTTTCAATCATGCATTTCTCTCTCGTTAATGTACATCGACACGTTTAAAACGCATGGTTAACAAAACTAGTTACCAATCAAACATTCTCAAAATATTTCTGTCTATTGAATCTATTGGATTGAAGTCTATTGAGTTTCAAAAATTAGTTATGGTTAGAGGAGGTCAAGTGATTTTTTAAACGAAAATTTTGTCTATTACTTAACTTCTGATAAACATAATAAAATATCATGTGTAATCTCACGATTGATCTTCCATTTACAATTTTTAATTAACCGTGATAAATTTTTTAAAATAGTGTTTTCTTATTTTGCGTGAATCTGGTAACTGGTAATACTTAAAAGAATTCATAATTTAAAAACCGCTAATTCAAACTGTCTACTGTATAAACTACTACTGACTTCCTGGCTTATTTTTTTTATTTAAGTCCAATCTATTGATATCGTCTCTATGAGTAGATAAGATACCCTTGTGTCAGCCTAAAAATAATAATCAAAGAGTCTTGCAAAATTTGGTGTAGAAGCTGTAGAAGGAAGGATCATTGAAATCGCTGAGCTTTATCCGGTGTTATACGATGCAATTGTATTTTTCCTTATTTCCCTATTTACTGTATATTTCTATTCTTATTTTTAATAAATCGTATTCTCCGGAAATGACAATGAGTCATTCTTATGCTAGTTCATTTCAATCTTCGTCTGTTGATCTTTAAAAAAGATCAATCCCTCTTTATTTTCTAAATAGACATGTATAACGTATGTATGAGTATATTGTGATGAACGACGTCGTGCATAATTCTTATATAGAAATTAAAGAAACTTTTGCTGTCTGCATGAAGTTTATTGAAGTTTATTATCTTCCAATATTTGGCAGAACGAAGTTAAAGTGTGGCGTTCCTAATAGTTAATTAAGTATAAAGTTACATTTAACGTAATATAAGCGATTGTTTAAGGTTGCATGAGTCTTTAAATGAAAACAATAACAAACCATTAAAATTTTAGAAGTTAGATGTTACAATTACAATTAACAAAACATCGTGGACAATTTCAAAAATTTTGCGAGGCTACTAAAAAAATTATTACATCTTAAACTCTTATGTTGAATGGAAAAATTTTGATTTCATTTATACACAACAACGAGAGAATTTCGTATAATTGTTAATGCATGCTGTAAGAATAGTTTAAAGTTGAAATAATATCAACTTCGAGGATATTATTTATGATAGACAATAAAAAGTAAGCATAATTGTATGACTTCTAGACAATGTAAACAGTTGCAAGTCAGACACAATCTTATCAAAAAGTGCCAAAATCATATGTTAAAATATTATAAATTATATGTTAAAAATTCGCTATGGCTTAAAACAATATGTCGAACAATTTTATAAACCGTAGTTCTCTGTAAATATTTTTCCTAAAAGTTTATCGCTTCAAATATTGAATATAGTTTTTCATAATATTAGCTAAACTGTTGGGATAGATCTTACAGCACATACAACCTTAAGCATCTACAAATTTTCATACGGAAATATTTTAGTTTGCTATTTAGTTTTACTTTAAAGGATCAAAAGCAGGTGATAGTGCAACCAAGAGATTTGATCATGTACGAAATAGATTTGAGAACGAAATTTAATTAAAAATCTGCTTTGTACATACATTGTGTATTAGATTTTCTTAAATCATTTACATTTACCTTTTGCGATTGCTGGGGATTACGTCATTCATAAAAAATATTGTTTACTTATAATTATTTGTAAAAATATCTTCGCTCAAAGCAATGATTGATCATAAAAATTCAAACTCCGACGTTTCTCGTCAGTTCTCCAAAAACAGTTATTAAGATTTCACTATTTAATAAACTGAAAGCGAACGAAGAGCTATTCTCAATTTATAGAGAATTTTTATAAAATTTGGAAGGTTTGATAAGAAATTTAAAAAACTTTGTCATTTGAAGCTGAATTTCTAATGAAAATTCACATCGTTCGAGAGATTCATTTATTCTATTAGGAAAAATATACGTATGTAAAATTCGAATTCCAGTTCTATACATGTAATACTAAAAGCTCGATTATATACATATAAACGTTATGAGGTATGACAAACAAATATTGCATGTACGATCATTAATTATTGTTAATCATGTCTGAGTAGAGACGCAATCGGACAACTTTCACACCGCAACAGCTTCAAGAGTTGGAGTCGCTATTCCAGAAGACGCACTATCCGGATGTTTTCCTCAGAGAAGAAGTCGCTCTCAGAATTTCGCTTTCCGAAGCTCGTGTTCAGGTTAATAAACACAAATATTCTATTGCTATCATTTTTATTATCGAGTCGCATCATCGGATCGATGTAACGTCCCATATCTAGTAGATCAAAGTCAGATCTTACATATCTACATCCAAATTTTGTTTAATATCTCTCGATGCACATAATTAAAGTAGCATAATATCATTTAAACAAGGGATATTAATTCGATTTGGAAACTAAATGATGTGATAGAATAAGTTGTAAATTTTTAGTGAAACCTACCTTCGGGACGCTACACAGTGCGTTGTGTTCATGGGATGTTGGGAGAAGGATCATAACTTCTGAACTAATCAATTTTAAATACCTTAATACTTTTTGAAACAAACTAAAAAAATGTATTGATTTCCACCAAAAAGATACGCTTCCATAAAAGAAAGTTGTTATTACTTTCGTTTACTACTGAATAAAAACCTTTTATACGTTAAATTCACGAAATTGAAGAGGTAAAGGAAGTCATTCTTGATATTGTATAAAACGATCCATTGCTCTATTGCACTTTTGTTTTTCTTCAAGGCAGCTTGAAAGCCACATGTCGAACACAGATCTATCGATAATAGATCACGTCTAATCTATATAATAACAATTATTTAAAAATTGATGGCCAGTTATCTCTTTCGTGATCTTTTGAAGGACATGTACATATACGAATTTGTCCCAAAAGAAATCAGACATGAGTTTTGAGGAGTATTTTCTAAAACCTTAATTACAAGAAGCGGCAAATTTTGCGCTATTTTTACCTTTAAAAAGCGGAAGCAAGAAACAAGTTAATGGTATTTACATTTAACTAATTTGCTTGGAAGACGAACTTCGGCTGAACCTTTTTACGTGCACGTAGCGAGGAATCATGATTCATTTGTTTATATCTTCAAATTACACTTTTTAGTTATGTATATGCAGAAACTCTCCAATAATGATTTTAAGGATGTATTGGCTATACAGTCAATCCCAAAAGTTTATGTACCTTAGAAAAACGCATTTCCTATAATTAAAAAGAAATCAGACGTCGGAAGAATTATGCTAATAATAAATAGCTACGTGCTAAAAAGTATAG